CACCTGGGTAGAGTGCCTTGGCATCACAGTTCACAGCAACCTCAAACTCTTGCACTAAAGCAATTCTCTTGCTTCAGCCTCCCAAGTAGCTGAGACCACAGGCACCCTCCACACACCCAGTCATTTTTTTGTTGCAGTTGTCACTGTTTAGCAGGCCTGGGATGGATTCAAACCCACCAGCCTTGGTGTATGTGATCTACTCCATGCAGCGTCCTGGTTCAGGAGGGAGACACAGATGAGATGAGCAGGGAGTGATTTCAGCTGTGACCAGCACAGCAGCTGGGTTGGACTGTCTTGTTGGGGCCCTGCCACCTTGCAGGCCTGTCTGGGACTCAGCCAGATGGAGGAGGGCGGCTCCATCCTTCAGATTTGGCCTTGTGGAAACCAGGCACAACTGGAGGCAGGAGCACCCAGAGGGTTCAGCAAGGGACAAGAAAAAAGGGGGAGGCTGGGGCCACTTTGGAAGATGACAGTAAGGGTGTGGGGGCCCCTTACAGCCACTGCTCCTGGCAGCCAAGAATGAAAGAGTGGATACGTGAACTAATGAAGGCTAAATGGGTAGATAGTGAGAGCAGTGGGCTCTGAGCTGCCCAGTGGGCATGAGTGTGGAGATTTCCAGACTCGTCAGACGGGAAGAATCCCCTGGAACACTGGCTTACCCTCCCCTGGTAATTTTAGTTCGTACGTCTGGAATAGGGCCTGGCCCTCCCAAATCTGTGGATCAGGCACACCTGAGCAATTCTTGGAACCAGAGTGGAAGCACAGTGGAAGGAGTGCGCAGGCAGAGGCACACCTGGCCTGTCACTGCCCTGCTTGGAACCTGGGTATACACCGCTCTGCGCCCCGTCACGGTTGGTGAGATAGTGTAACAATCCTGCCTTGTTGGGCTGTATTCCCGGTCCCAGCACTCTTCACTAGTATCAGATGGGCGGGGCAGTGCTCTCTGTCCCCTCTGTTCTCGGCAGGTGGTAATAATAACAAGGACAAGATGAGGTGGAGCCAGACGCTGCATCCTGGCTTTCAGCTCACTAGCTGTACAACCTGGACGAGCTCCTCTGCTCCTTCATCCTCCTTCCCTCTTCACTAAGATGGAGCTAAGGAAGAGCTTGTTGAGGAGGTCAGGAAAGTGGCCCGGATGGGGCTGACAGGAGGTCATGTGGCCCATCCCCCGACCTGCCTCAGGTCTTTCCAGTAATCTGAGTCTCCGCCCCTGTGTTTAACAGTGGCAAAGTCTCACACACCCACCTCATGACACTGACTCAGGGCAGGTCCAGTGGCCAGCAGGTCACACAACCCTGTGGCCCAGTCTGCTGCTGCCTCTCCACAGCCTCCTGGGCTCCAGTAGTCCCGCATTTATTCCCCCTACCAGCCCTGCCTTGAAAGTCTGCTAACGTGCACCTCAAGCCTCACCCATCCAGACCCTCAGCTTGCAAATAGGATAGCTGAGGCCCAGAGACAGCGTTTGACATCCCTGAGGACACATAGCAAGTCCCAGCAATTCCCAGCACCTTTGTCCAAAAGAGTTGTTGGGGTCCGTCTGCTAAGTAGACTGCTCTCCTCCCTCCTCTCCGCCTCTTCCTCTCTCTGCTGTCTCCCCCATCTCGTTTTATTTTTCTTATTTTGTCTCATCATGAGTCCTAAGTGCCTAAGGTATTCCCCCCTTGCCCAGTCACCAGGGACTGTCCGGCTCAGGAAGTGAGGAATTTCCCAGGAATCCACGTCACGATGACTTGTCCCTCTCCCGGTGGGGGGGGGGGGACTGGCTGTGGCTGCCTCTGGGACGGTGAATGAGTTCTTTCAGGGCTTTGTGTGAACTGGGCCTGAGCCAGGCTCCCAGTCAGGCAAACAGGCCACGTTGTTGAGAAGCGGAGAGGATGTGAGCAAGAACAGGCATGTGACCCACAGCTATTGAGCACAGCCCCTCCTTCCACAGCCAGCGGTGTGCTGAGCTGCAGGGCAGGGCAGCGTGTTTCCCCAGTGTAGGGCTTCCCCTGGGCCGCCGCTCTGAGGGCATGTGCCTGTGGTGTCATCTTTTAAAGCCTCACGAGTGACCTTCAAGGCCAGCAGCATTATAGCACCTGTTAGAAATGCAGAATCCTAGGCCCCATCCCAGCCCTCCTGAATCTGAATCTATGTTTTATCACCATGCCCAGCGTGGCTCCTAAGCACTTTCAGGTTTGACAAGGGCAGGTGTAGTTCCAGGCGACACTCCATCTTCCTTCTGGCGGGTGCTCCCCATCCCCCGTGTTGAGCACAGGCTCTGTCCAGAGAAGGCCTCCAACAAAACCAGGTGGGTGGCAGAGTGGGTCGGTGAAACTACCCATTGAGTAGATGGCCAGACACTGCCTCCAACATTGTGACCCTGGGTTAGTCACCTCACCTCTCTGAGCCTCGGTTTCCTGTGGTCACTGGTGAGAATGTGTAAATAGGACCACGTGGTATCCCAGGAGGCCACTAGCCATCTAGGAGAAGCAGGCTGTGGAGAAGGTGTCAGCCATCCAGAGAGATCTTTCCCAGGTCATAGATGAAGGGCATAGGCTACATAAGGAGAAAGAGAGGAAAACTGTCAGAGAGCTTCCAAAGTGGGCTGCCTCCTCAGCCCGGACCTGATCAGCTCACCCGGATTCTATTTTCAGGTCCCCTTCCCATACTCTCCAATGCAGCTGCCTGGCCTGCGTGGCCATGCATGCATGAGAGGAAGTAAGAGGGGATGCCAGGTTGGGGGCACTCTCCAGCTTGTCCCTTGTAGCTCAGCCACTGGGTGGTGGAGGCCTGGAGCATTTGCTCTGCTGGATCAGTGTGGTGGTGACAAGCAGACCCTGGAGCCAGCTGCTGGCTGTGTGACTTCCCCAGTTATCTAAAGGTGCCTAGCAAGTCACCCCATTAAGGTCCAAACAATGCCAAGATTTCACTCACACACCTATAATTTGGGCTGGCGCTTGGCAGGTGGGGACAGCTTATCAGTGGAGGCACATTTAAGGCTGGGATCTGGACTGATTAGAAGGGCCCTCCTGGACAGAGCTGGTGCTGGGGTTCCTGGCTGCTCCTGGTCTCTTCAGCATGGTGGCTTCGCAGTAGCTGGATTTCTTTATATGTCAGCTTAAGGCTCCTGGGATGATTCTGATCCTAGAGAGAAGTCAGAAGTCACAAGGGCCAGCCCACGTGGGAAGGGAAGGGAAATTAGATTCCATTTCTTTTGAGAAGAGTGTCAAGGAATTTGCAAACGTGTTGAAAGATAACAGAGCAATCTTGGGCATATCACTCCTCTGGGCTTCAGACTTTTCATTTGTAAAATTCAGTTAAATATAGCCCTACCTCCTAGCTGTATTAGTTTTTTGTTTTGTTGTTTTTCTCAGACAGGGTTTCAGGCTGGCTAGAGTGCAGTGGCATCATCAACCATCACAGCTGAGTAACCTCAAATTCCTGCCTCAGCCTCCCAAGTACATGCCACCATGCCCAGCTAATTTTTCTATCTTTTGTGGAAATGGGGTCTTGCTCTTTCTTGCTCAGGCCGGTCTTGAAATCCTAATTCTCAAGCAATCTTCTTGCCTTGGCCTCCAGAGTGCTAGGATTATGGGCATGAGCCACCGCACCTGGCCATGTACTGGTTTTTTATGGCTGCTGTAACAAAGCCATAAATTCAGTGTTTTAAACAACACAAATATGGCTCAGCGCCCATAGCACAGTAGTTATGGTGTCAGCCACATACACAAAGGCTGGAGGGTTCAAACTCAGCAGGGGCCAGCTAAGCAACAATGACAACTGCAATAGAAAAATAGCTGGGCATTGTGGCAGGCATCTGTAGTCCTAGCTACTTGGAAGGCAAGAGAATCACTTAAGCACAAGAGTTTAAAGTTGCTGTGAGCTGTGATGCCACAGCACTCTACCGAGGGCAACATAGTAAGACTCTGTCTCAAAATAAATAAATAAATAAAACAACACAAATGTATTATCTTACACTTCTGTAGTTTAAATGCCCAACATAGGTCTTACTGGGCTAAAATAAGTATGTTTGTAGGGCTGGATTTCTTGTGGAGATTCTGAGGAGTCCACCTTCTTACCCTCTCCAGCTTCCAGAGACAGCAGCCTGAATGCCTCGACTCTTGACCCCTCTGCTGTCTTCAAAGACAGCTACACATGTCCAGCTCTCTTCACATGGCATCCACAGATGTTTAGGACCTGTGATGATATTGGATTCACCCAGATAATCCAGAAAATCTTCACATTTTAAGGTCATCTGATTAGCAATCTAGATTCTACCTGCAACTTTAATGCCCCATTGCCATGTAATATATCCACAGGTCCCGGGCTTTAGGGCGTAGACATCTTTGGGAGGTCATTATTCTGCCTGTCACATTAGGATTGTTGAGAAGATTAAACGACACAATATATGTGACTTTTTTTTCTTTTTGAGACAGAGTCTTACTCTGTTGCCTTGGGTAGAGTGCTGCGGCATCATCATAGTTCACAGCAACCTTAGTGCTCAAGAGATCACCTTGCCTCGGCCTCCCGCAAGTGGCTGAAACTACAGGTGCCTGCTATAGTACCCAGCGAATTTTTCTATTTTTAGTAGAGACAGGATTTTGTTCTTGCTCAACTAGTCTCAAACTCCGGAGCTCAAGAAATCCATCTGCCACCGCCTCCCAAAGTGCTGGGATTATAGGTATAAGCCACCACACCCGGCCATATATGACATATTTTGATGCATGCTTAGTGTGTGGAAGTACTCAGTAGGTACTAGCCATTGCTACTATGCCACCGAAGAAGTTGGGGTGGGCCACTGGCACAAACTGAAACTATTGTGAGGAGGGACCAAGTCCAATTTCCTCTTTTCATAGATGATAAAATTGAAGCCCAGAGAGGGATGATAATTTGCCTGAGGTCACACAGCAAGTCAAGAAGGGGTTGCTTCCTGCCAGCCCCTTGACTACACCAAGTTGCCCCAGACCCACCAAGAGGACCCTGGGTGATATGGGAATGGCACATGTCTTCCTGGCCAGATCCTGCAGCTCCTGAAAGGCAAGCTGGTGGTGGGCCATGACCTGAAGCATGACTTCAAGGCTCTGAAAGAGGACATGAGTGGCTATGCCATCTATGACACGTCCACCGACAGGCTGCTGTGGCACGAGGCCAAACTGGACTACTGTAGGCGCGTCTCCCTGAGAGTGCTGAGCCAGCGCCTCCTGCACAGGAACATCCAGGTAAGGCCCCTCCCTGTGTCCTTCCCCAGTGGGAGCACTCTGTGGCACAACCCACCTCAGCCAGGGCTCCTAGGTCCTGCCGTGGGACTCTAAAGCCCCCCAATGGCTCCAAATATTTGGCCCAGAGACTGTTTCCTCTACTCCTGAGAGGCCATCTTGCTTTTGAGAGAGGGCGAGTGTGTGTGTTTGGGTTCTCCTGGGATTGCAAGCAGTTTATGGCAGCCGCCTTGTAGATACCGAAGCTTTATCCTGCCACAGCACTCTGGGAAATGGTGCCAGGGGTGGGCCACATGCTGACTTTGTGAGGACAGTTTTTACTTATCTATGGTGGCCAGTGTCCTGCAAGTATGCATGGCCCTTATTTTTTTTTTTCCTAATCAGCTTTTTTTAGTGTTTGTGTATTTAATGTGTGGCCTAAGACAACTCTTATTTTTCCAATGTGCAGCAGGGGGAAAAAAAAAGGTTGGACACCCCTGAAAGTACAGCACTAAAACACATATTTCAAACGTGTCCCACGGCAGGGGTCAGGGAACTGGGGGGTTTGTGCTCCATCTTCCAGGGAATGCTGCTCCTGGGTGCACATTCTTTTTGTTTGTTTGTTTTTATAGAGACTGAGTCTCACTCTATTGCCCTCGGTAGAGTGCTGAGTGCTGTGGCGTCACAGATCACAGCAACCTCCAACTCTTGGGCTTAGCTGATTCTCTTGCCTCAGCCTCCCGAATAGCTGGGACTACAGGTGCCTGCCACAACACCAGGCTATTTTTAGTTGTTGTTTTAGTTTGGCCGGGGCTGGGTTTGAACCCGCCACCCTTGGTATATGGGGCCGGCGCCCTACTCACTGAGCCACAGGCGCCGCCTCAACTGCTCTTTATTAAGCACCTGCTCTGTGCCAGGCTGGCCAGATGCTGGGGATATGGGAGTAAGCAAGACTTGTCCTTGTCCTTGAGGGACTCTTGGCTGGATGGGAGATGGCCCATGATCCGATCGTTAGTGCACGTGATCGCAAATGTCTGACAGAGGGACAGACAGTTGCCTTTGCCCTGGGAGTAGGGAGGAAGGATAGGGCTGGCAAGGTAGAAGGCCAGATCTGAGCAGTCTGAGAGGGAGGACAGGGTGAGGATCGCTTGGCTGGGGGAGAGGCTCAGGAGCACGAAGTCTGCTCCATGTCTGAAGCAGGAACAGGCCTGATTCTGGGCCTTTCTATTAGCTGCATGTCCCTCAAGACCAGGCTGAGCTTTCCCTGGAGCCCTTGTCACTCTGTGGTTATCAGTCTGATACAGGGCCTCCTCCTCAGACTCTGTCCCTGGGCGTGCTAAGCCTGGTTATTCCAGGGCTCAGCACCCACCTGACCAGCTCCTGCTTGCACTGATGCTCCCAGAAACCATCACCGAAGTACCATCCTCCAATGTAGATGGTGGTGCAGCTGATCACTGTGGTCACAACTGACCCCAAAGGACATAAGGAGCTAACGTGGAAGATTGTCACAGAGGGAATGAATGGCAGTCCTGTGGGTTCCCATCTCAGGCTGCTGATACGGGAGACCAGGCCACACAGGAAAGGAAGGGTCCTCTGTTTATCAGGTCCCTACAAGGTTGCTGGGCATTTGACTTCCTCTCATTCCATCCCCTATGGCAGATGTGATCAGGCCCATTTTACTACAGAAGAAACAGAGGCCCAGAGAGGAAAAGTGGTTTGCCCAGGTTCACGGAGCTCATAGCAGGGGAGCTAGAATCTGAACCTGGGTTTGTCTGATTCCAAATCCAGTGCCTTCCATGTTCCCATGCTGGTGAGCAGGGAAGGACACTTGCGTCATCTCTTGCTTCTGTCCTGGCTTTTTTCTCCATAGAGCAGAGTGATCTCTCTGTGCCTTAGTTCCTTCATCTGTCAATCAAGGGTGGTGACACAGGGCAGATATGCCAGAAACACAAGGCACTTAGCACAGTGCCCAGAGCACAGATAGTGCCACCATGCTACCCGCCTGTTAGTCAGGACTGTCAGAAAAACTAGCCCTTATGAGGGAAGGAAGTCCCCTCTAGGCTGAGCACCATGAAAGCCCAGCCAGGCCTAACAGCCTGCTGACTCCCAGGCTGGGGACCAGCCAGGATACTGGGCTAGGCAGGGCAGGTGAAGGTAACTCCAGTGGGAATTTGCCTGGCATGGCAGACTCCATGGGATACAAATCTCAGCTCCACAACTTGCTGGCTTATGTGTAGGCCTCAGTTTCACCATTGGTAAAATGGGGGAATAATGGTATCCAGCTCAGAAATTTAATGAGATACTGTGAAAGAGGTGGCAAATGGTAGTCGCTCCTTTCTTGAATGGACTGAGTGGCCCCTCGACTCCCATAACAAGCCCCATAAAGTCTAGACTCCCCACCATGGCATTCAAGGCCTTCGCTGATGGGACCAGCCCCATGTGCCCTCCCAACACCATCCCTGATGCTCCCCCTCTCCGAGCTTCTTGTTTCCCAAATGGCTTGTGTCACTTGGACTCCATTTACTGACATCTCTGCCTTCTCTGAGCAGCCTCTTCCCACACCCCTGGCTGCAGTTGCTCACTCTCTCCTTGATGTCCTGGAGCTCCTTGCTGGAGCCACTTGAGCCCCTTTGTGTGTCTGACAGCAGGTCTGCAGCCTCCACTCAGCCCACCAGATCACAGGCACCTTGCAGGCACAGCCTGGTTCTAAGGATGCTGGATTTTGTGTCTAGTCTTAGTGCCTCTGTCCCCAGGGCTGAGGCAGTGAAGCAGGTGACAAACTCACTTGTGGACCCATTCTGGGGCCCTGGAAATCAGGGTGTGAGCAGGTAAAGCCTGGTTACTGGGGCTCTGGATCTAGCCGCCCTCCAAGTCCCCATCTTGTACCTGTGCCCGCAGAACAGCCGGCTTGGACACAGCTCTGTGGAAGATGCGAAGGCTACAATGGAGCTCTACCGAATCTCCCAGCGAATTCGAAGCCGCTGAGGCTGCCCACTCAGCCACATCATACTGAAGCTGGACCCAGCCTGTGTCCCAGGGTCTAGGAGTTACATCTCGTCATCACAGCAACTCCTTTGTTCTGGAAAATGTATCTCTTTAGTAGTAAAATAGCTCTATATTTTCTCTACTCTGTCACTGGATTCTCTTTTTATCTTTTCCCTTCTTCTCTCTGAGACTGGGTAACAGTGGGCAGAACCCAGTCTGCGTGATATTGAGAGGGAATGAAGACTTATGCCAGGGAACCGGGCAAGTATTATTGTCCTTAACATCCTCAGTCTGTGGGCCCAGTTAGGCTCCCCTCCCTGTTCCTGTCACATTTATGCCTGGATTTCCTGGGATGGCACCCTGCTTAGGGATCCATTCATCTGCTCCTGACAATAGTAATGCAGCACTTGTGAGCTTCAAGCAAAAGTACAGAAAATGTGATAGATGTTAACCCTGGTGACTTTAAGCAAGTTACCCCTCCTCTTATTTGTAAAATTAGGAAGCCAGGGCAGTAAACTCTGAAGTCAGAACTATCTCAGAATCCTGGCTTATCCATTTAATAGCTGTGTAACCAAGGGCAAGTTATTTAACCCCTCAGTTTCCTCATCTGTGAAATGGGGAATTGTGACAACTCATAAGGAAGCTGTGAGAAGTCACATGCAAGGCCACTACACCCTGATGAGTTATCAGTACTGTTATTCCCTGTACTACCTGTAGATATGCAAGGCTCCAGGGAGGGCCCTGCACTCTGCTCCTGGGGCTCAGCTCACTGAGGAAGATCATGGTGTGACTCTGTGCCTGGGTCGCTAGTGTGAGGCCCAGGCAACTGTTCATTTCTTAACCTCCATGGGCAATTCTGATCCCAGGACACTTGAATCCCCGAGGTGCTTCCTAAGCAATCCCAGTCTCCCAGACTCTCACTAGAGTGAATATCAGCATCGCTTGGAGTTTCTGATTCAACGGGTCTGGGGTAGAGCTAAAGAAGGTGCATTTCTAACATGTTCCCCAGAAATTCATATGCTGCTGGTCCGGGTTTGAGAGGCATGGCCTTAAGCACCGGGGGATTATAACAGGCAGCCACAGCTGAGGTCCCAGGGCTGAGCACCACAGCCCAGCCTCTCCCCGTGCCTACTCCCTTGGCTGCCTGTCATGCAGATAGAGGTCTAGAAGATGGGTCATAAATAGCTCTACTGCACAGATGAGGGACTCAAGATAAGGTTAAGCACTCAAGAGATTCAGGCAGGGATTCAGATTCAGACCTGCCTGACCCCAAACTCAAGGGGTTTTTTTTGGTTTTGGTTTTTTTTGGGGGGGGGGTTGCATTTTTTGGCCAGCACTGGGTTTGAACCCACCACCTCCGGCATATGGGGCTGGCGCCCTACCCTTTTGAGCCACAGGCACCACCCCAAACTCAAGGTGTTTTGTTTGTTTGTTTTCTTTTTTTTTTTGCTCAGATGCTTTTTTTTCTTGGAGGCAATGCCTCCTATCTGTGCCCACTGGCTTCTGGAACCTGGAGGGCTCCCTCCTATGTCTGGAAGGGTGAGAAGATACAGCTTGCTCACCCAGGGTTTTCTCCTGTGATTTTCATTTACGGTGATGACCCAGATTTCCTAAAAACTTTCATAGCTGTTGGGTGCGTTGGCTTTGTCTAGCTGTGACTTGCCACAAGGTGGCGCCAGCGGGCCATCTGTCTGCCACCAGGCTTCTTGGGTGGCGCGGAGAGAGGAATACTCACTCTGGGGAAAGGTGGGAGGGGACTTCAGACAGCCTAGGGGGCTGCTCCAGGGACTCTCTAGGTTGTCCTCATTCAGCCACAGAAGTCGAGGCTCAGAGAGTGGATGGCATGGGATGCAGCCAGCAAATAGCATCCATCACTACTGGTCCTAACAGAGATAAAGTGCAACCTCCCGGGTGCCCCTTCAGACTCCTGACCTGGTGGGGTCCCAACATGGACCCAATGCCTGCACAGATGGGGTTTATTTCTCTCTCTCTCTTTTTGCAGTATTTGGTGGGGTTGCAGTTTGAACCCACCACCCCCTGCACATGGGGCGGTCGCCCTACTTCTTGAGCCACAGGCGCTGCCCCGGATGGTGTTTATTTCTGTGTGGCTTTACAGGACTGGGGAAGGAAAGATGGTGTTTACTGGGTGACAAGTTCTGTGCTCAGTGTGACATACACAGTCTTGCATGGTAACCCTGCATGGGGGTGATTAACATCCAATCTTGCTGATGAGGGAAACAAGCCCTGATACTAAACCCAAGCTCTGCCCCTCACAGCAGACCCCTCTCCATGGCTGGGAGCAGCACCCCAAGAGCCCGGCTGCTACTTGGTGGCTAGTCTCATCCCTAGTCTGCTCCAGCCTCCTCATCTATAAAATGGGATCATTTCCACCAATCTCCAGAGCTATCCTAGAAACAAAGGAGACCAGAAAAGTAATACCACTTTGAAACCTGCCCTGGCCTGTGTGAGTGTCAGGTGGAACCTCGATACCTGGAGATGCCCTGCCCTCCTGGTTCTGCCCTTGGTTCTGGAAAGTACAAGTCAGGGTCCAGCCCAGGCACACAGGGAAGAGGCAGCACTGGGCTTCCTAGCACTTCTTGCCCTTGGTCTCTTCTTCCCAACCCCTTGAGTGTCCCGAGGTCAGTTTCTACTCCCCTTCCTCTAGGCCTTCTCTCACCCCCTCTGCTGCTGGCCAGGATGGGGGCTCCTTTGTTATTTGGCTCTGGCCCAGATGTCGTCCCTAGGACACCCTAGGGGTCTCTCTCTGCTTCAGAGTAGAGAGGCCATGTGAATGACCATGCTGTCCTGAGTGATAAGCCACAGTCTCTGGAGACTGTGACAGACCTGCATGGTGGCAGTGTAAGGATGGGAATGGGCCGCAGTGGCTTCTAGCACAGTGGGAGCTCCCTCTGGCATCTTAGCCAGGGCAGAGAAGCATGAGTCATCTGGTCTCCCCGGAGACCCAGGGACCTGCCTGCATCTTACCAGGCTCTGCCTTTCCCTGTAGACACCTAGAGAGGGGCAAGGATGAGTGCATTCAGGGCCTCTGCTCCAAGGCCACAGATGTAAAGGCCTCAGGGGCTGGTCCCATAAAGTAAATGAGCGAACCAGACCATGTGCCGCAGAGAACTGGGAGTGCACGCCCTGGCGGCTTGGGAAGTTGCCATTTAGCCCAGCTGACTGTGGCGATGCAGAAATGCTGGCCTTGGGGAGGTTGTCAGGGCTGCCATGGGTCACTACTTTGAGACCTCAACTCTAGTCGACCTCCCAGCTAACACCTGACTCCTCCTAAGAGGGGGGCATCAACCCTTCGCCTGGATTGAGAAGGACAGAGAATTTATGAAAGCACTCCGAGGAGAGTGGACCTGTTTTGTGCACAGCAGCATTTGACCCCCTGAGGCTCCTAACCAAGATAAGTCAATCCCCCTGTAACCTGGTGACCTGTCTGTCATACATCTTTAGATGATTTTCATGTCCCCTCCCCCACCTGGCGTCTTTGACTTTCCAGGTTAAATATCCCAAATTTCTGCAACGTTTTCCACTTACGTGGAGTTCCCATTTCTCCTTTGCCCCCATCAGTTGACCTACCACCCACCCCACCTCCTGGCTTCACTGTCCCTTCTCTCCCCACATTCCCAACCTCACTCTCAGTGGCTCCTTAAAAATGGTGGAAAGGTAGTAAGAGAACCAGGGAGCAGGCCACATCCTCCACCCGGCCTAAGGCAGGGAGAATGGTGACACTGGGGAAAGGAGTCCCCTTGCCACCTAACTCCTAAAGCATCGAGGAAGATTGCAGGGCTGCCTGGAAATTACAGTCTAAAAGTGTCATCACCTTGCTGAGCACACCTGAGGCACCTCGAACTCAGCCCCGACAGCAGAGTGAGGGGACTGGAAAGGCTGCCCCACCCCTATCAGTCCCCCTGGCCTTCCTTCCATCCTCAGCCTGGCCCAGCCCAGCTAGAAGACAGAAAAGTGCTTCTGTTCGGGAAAGGTCCTTCCAGTGCCCACTTGCTCCCCCTCCCCGAGCTGCCAAGTGTCTCCAGGGGCGTCCTGGCTCTCCACTGCTCCTCAGCCCCATCCGAGGGCCCATTGTCTCCGAGGGTTTCAGCCAACCTGGTCCTGGGTCCAAGAGTGGTAAGGAGCTCTGCCCAGCTTCCTGCCTCGTGTCCTGTGGGCTGGGCCGAGTTCTGTGGCCAAGAGGCTTACTCACTCACTAAATAATTTCTCTTCTATATGGAAAGAACATATGCTTTTCCTGCTAGGGATGAGAGGTTTTGAGTAGTTTTGCTGAGACATGGAGGAAAAGGCAAACACCGACATGGCCCCGCCACCCTGATTTCTAGCAATGTGTGTTCTATGGCAGAAACTGTCTTTACTCCCAGGTACAATGGGGGCCCAGGGAACATTGATTGGAGCCATTGATTTTAGGATACTGAGTTGGTCCTCTCTTCCAGGGCTGGATGTCCTCGGCTCCTCTTATCATTCCCCAAATTTTAGGACTGGAACAGAGTGGAAGGAGCTGAATGCACCTCTGCCAGCCAGTCCCAGCTCAGAGCCCACAGCTGTGTCCTCCTGCGAGGGTAGGGGCAGCTCTACTTCACTGACCCATGCCCATGATCCTCTGCCTAGTGGAGGGGAGGCCAGTAGGGCCTGCTAAGGAACAGATTTAAAATAAGCATTCTTTCTACTGAGTCTTTTCCCTGAGGGATGTGAAAAGGCTGGGATTCAGTGGCAAAAGCTGGCTGTCTTCTGAAAGGAGGACACCCCAGGATCCCAGGCCATCATGCAGCTCAGGGAAAGAGAGGACATGGCTTGATGCTCCTGGCTGGGCCATCCTGATCTATGGGTTGAGGATAATTATGGCCTCCTGGGATCAGTGTGAAGATGAGAGAGAAGGATGTGAAGAGCCAGGCACAGGAAGATGCTCCATAAAGGGACACTGGGCAAAGATGTGTCAGGGTTTCCTCTGAGGGAGGCTGGCTGGCCTCCAGGGAGGGGACTTGGAAGCACTGGGTCCTACAGGGGTGTAGCACACCTTCTGTCTCGGCCCTATCACACCTGCCCCTTGAGGCTGTGATTGGAAGACACATTCCAAACTGCCCTGGTGTATTGCCAAGGACCCAGTATTGACAAA